GGGTGATGCTTCTGGGGTCATCTCCAACCCCAAAACGGGGTGTCCCCGCTCTTGGGGAAGTGCATCCTGAGCCCAGCTGTTGGGTGGTGCGGCCAGATGTTGCCCAAAAGTGTTTTGGGGTAGAATTCTAGGATGGCTTTGGTTGGAAGGGACCTCAGAGATCATCTAATCCAACCCCCCTGCAATGGGCAGGGATGCCTTTAACTCGACCAGGTTGCTCAAGAAAGGAAGGGACCTTAGAGATCTGATCCAACCTCTCAACCAGCCCAGGTTGTCCAAGGAAGGGACCTCAGAGATCGTCTAATCCAACCTCTCAGCCAGCCCAGATTGCTCAAGGCTTCATCCAACCTGGCCTTGAACACCTCCAGGGAGGGTTCAACCTCTCTGGGCAATTGATTCCAGGGTCTCACCACCCTCGGACTGAGGGATTTCTTCCTGAGATCCAATCTAACCCTATCCTCCTTCTATTTAAATGCTTTTCCTCTTGTCCTATTGCTGGACGCTTGGAAAAACTCCTTCCTCAGGTCTTGGAAGGCAGTGATAAGGTCCTCTTGGAGTCTTTTCTTCTCCAGGCTGAGCAATCCCAGCTCCCTCCTCATAGCAGAGCTGCTCCAGCCCCTACAGAGAACCTCCCCCTGTGGGGAATCTCCTGCCCGTGACCAAATTCTCGTTTTCCCTCCCGACAGGCTGGTGGTGGCGGTGGAAGAAGCCTTCACCCACATCAAGCGGCTGCAGGAGGACGACCAGAAGAACCCGCGCGAGATCATGGACCCGCGCGAGGCCGCCCAGGCCATCTTCGCCTCCATGGCGCGGGCCATGCAGAAATACCTGCGCACCACCAAGCAGCAGCCCTACCACACCATGGAGAGCATCCTGCAGCACCTCGAGTTCTGCATCACCCACGACATGACGCCCAAGGTGCGCCGGGCTGGGAAAACGGCGAGGTGGGACGGGGTTTGGGTGGTTGTTTTTTAAAAAAATAGAGCATCCCTCTTAGAGGACGAGGCGTCGGGGATACAACCTGCACCCCCAGCGCGGAACTGGGCGTGGTTTTCCTGCAGGGCCTGCAAACAAAAAACAAGCTGAGGTGTAGGAAGGTGTAGGAAGATGTTGAGGTGTCCGAAGGTGACACTGAGGTTTCTAAAGGTGACATTGAGGTGTCCGAAGGTGACCTTGAGGTGTCCAAAGGTGACGTTGAGGTGTCCGAAAGTGACATTGAGGCGTCCGAAGGTGACGTTGAGGCGTCCGAAGGTGGTGCTGAGGTGTCCGAAAGTGAGGTTGAGGTGTCCGAAGGTGACGTTGAGGTGTCTGAAGGTGACATTGAGGTGTCCAAAGGTGACGTTGAGGTGTCCGAAGGTGACGTTGAGGTGTCCGAAAGTGAGGTTGAGGTGTCCGAAGGTGACGTTGAGGCGTCCGAAGGTGGTGCTGAGGTGTCCGAAGGTGACATTGAGGTGTCCAAAGGTGACATTGAGGTGTCCAAAGGTGACGTTGAGGTGTCCGAAGGTGACGTTGAGGTGTCCGAAAGTGAGGTTGAGGCGTCCGAAGGTGACGTTGAGGCGTCCGAAGGTGACGTTGAGGCGTCCGAAGGTGACGTTGAGGCGTCCGAAAGTGAGGTTGAGGCGTCCAAAGGTGACGTTGAGGCGT